TAGGCATCATATTTTTGGTGCGCTTTATAGATTTTGATCGATTTCAATTCGATAACGACTGGATTTCTTATCTGTTATCGATTTGATATACTGTCATTTATAAACGATATTTCTTTTGCCTTTATTTTCTAAACTCAATTACCGTAATTTTATTACTAAAGGTTTTATACATAGATAATATAAGAATGGATAGGACATAAGAACTTATCACATGAAAATTTAGTGATACTATTTTTAAGGTTATATGAGGCGAATATTGATATGATAATTGATAAATAATAATAAATTAAATAACATCATTTTATTCTGTTATAAGTAATAACTTTAATAAGTAATTAATTAGTGATATTTAAMAATAAWATTCTATATTATAATTTATATTTAAAATAACAGTTGACAGTATTAATATTGTTTAGTATTAGTTTGGTGATTAGTGAAATAAAAGTATTTAATGAAATAGGTATAGAATTTTTATTCGTGTCGAAAATGAACTAGTTTAGTCAATTTACTTCTGAGTTTTAATTGATCATTGGCTTTTTTTTACTTTGTGAAAAAAACGAATGTTATAATTCATAACACATATATCCAATATTTATCCAATTTTTATTTTCTCGGCACAAGTTTTTTTTTTTGCTTATCAGATATTAAACTGCTAACAAACAATATTAATACATATAAATTAATCTTTTTGGTTTTTTTTAGAAATTATTGGTGAATATATTTAAAATAAATAACTATAAATTCCATGGCCTTGATGATTTTGTTATTTTTTTTTTTAGGGTCTGGGAGAAAAAGAAAGTATTGTTGGGTCGGCAGACAAGACAAGTTATAATTGAAATAAATATCAAGCCTGGATCACATGTCGCCATTGATGATATTAGGCTAGAAGACTGTTTACCAGGTAATCATAACTAATAATTTGAGATAAGTGAAATGGTAAATAGTAAATTAATTACATGAATGTAAAATCTATCAATAAATAGGCATAATTAATTCATTAAAAGTTTGACATAACCGTCATTAAGTCCGTAACAATAGCTCAGTTAACATCATTTTTTTTTTTTTTATGTCCATGGTTTGAGGCGATAGAATATCATTACTCAACTGATAACTACTGGCATGTTTAATAAATAAATTGCTTTTGTATGAGGATAAAAATAATATGTTRTACGAAAAATTCATTTTTTTATACATACGATAATATTTTATTCTATTTAAAATATAATGACAATCAGCTAATTTTTCGAATAATTTATTGAATAACAGTAAAAACACCAATACCTAATACAATAACGGTTATAATATATAAAAATATTAATTATATTAGTAGCTATTAAATAATAATTAAATCTACTAAAAACATGTTAGAAGAAGCCATAGAATATTACGAAAGAAATAGTGTTTTTAGTAAATATATTAGAATAATAATTTCAGAAAAAGTGGGC